AGATATTTTTTTACTTTATATCTACCTCTATTAAACGTGTCTATTATAGCTATCGATTATTATTATTAATGTCAGTGTTCGACAGATATTTATTACGAGAAATGATGTTGACAAATTGATGAGAGAACGGTAGCTTTGCATCTTGATACCCAATCGTAAGATAAATGTATACATATATAAGAATAACACACCTCTGTGTATGCAAGTACCAATGTATATTTATTTGGTTCTGTTCATTACCATTGACGATTATTCCGTTGAACTCGTCTATTTACTCTTCAATTGAAGCAGAATAATTTTCTATGAATTTTAAAGAACTCCTATTTCGCATAAGAATTGCTAAACAAACATTTATCGAAATTCGTTGGTGCCAAAAGGTAAAAGGGATCAAAATGGGGTGGCAGTCTAATAAGACTGTGCATGCCCTTTTTTATTACCATCACATTTCGTCTACCTACCCTACATTTATCGTCTGTTTTGTACCGTACCTCTACGTATGCAATAACAGAGAAAACAATCTTACTGCAAATAATTTACTAATATTTCACGGTTTAATATAGAACCGAACTAAAAAAAAGAAAACTGTTACCCAAAAATGCGAACAGAATGTTTTTCCGAAATGTGGTGTTATAGGCGGATGATGCGGATATCGTGGGTAGAAAAGGTTAGAAATGAAGAGGTATTGGAAAGAATAGGAGAACAGAGGACTCTATGGAAGTCAATAATAAATAGGCGAGATAGGTTGGTAGGACACCTTCTTAGGCATGAAGGTCTAGTTAGAGGCATATTAGAGGCAGAAACAGGAGTTAGGAGGGGTAGAGGTAGACCTAGATTAGATTACTGTTCGCAAATAGTTAAGGATGTGGGTTGTTCTAGTTTTAGGGATTAGCTCAGGATAGGAAAAAGTGGAGGTACGTGTCCAACCAGTCTTAGGACTGACGACCCTATGATGATGATGATGATGATGATAGTACTATCACTCAGTGGCGATCGATATTATTGATTTGGATCTTCAATTTTCGTCTTTTTTGTACTTCATCAAAAGTCAAATTAAAGGCTTATTTGGCTAGTCAAAGAACAACGTTATGTTTGGTGCATTTTGTCATCCTTTTAGATTTTTTTATATAAATATGTAAATAGTGCTTATATATGTACATGAATATGCGTCTGAGGTTGAGGCTCAGGCTGAGATTAAAAATTAGCATAAATTGAAGTAGCGATATTCCAACAGTGAGCTTGGTATTAAATTGGCGGAACATAAATTATTGCAGTACGAAACAAAAAGGGCAAATAGTTAAGGATGTGGGATGTTCCAGTTTTACGGAAATGCGAAGTTTAGCTCAGGATATGAAAGAGTGGAGGTACGTGTCCAACCAGTCTTAGGACTGACGACCTTATGAGGTTTCCCAAAATTCCGAAAATACGTATTAGGAATTTTTTGTGAACAGCGTTTCTTTTATCTAGAATTTTTTCATACCTACCTAAATTCAAAACAAAATAATTAGTTTTTATTATCTCGAAATTAATTATTGTAACACGTTCATGTACCTAATATAATTCAGACTTAAACAATACTTTATACATATTTTCATTTCGATGAAAATTATTGCCAGTTATAACTAGTTTACCTTGTTAAGGTCGAGACCCCGCCTAATTCACGGCATACCAAGTCATGTTTCTATTATGTATTAGTTATATGTACTTATACGTAGATACTAATAACAGTAAAAGTAGCCTTGCTACTGAATGTAACTAGGTAACTCTTTTCTGTTGACAAACACGCAGACAAGAGAAAATGCGATCCCCAAAACGTTTAGTTCAACCATCTAGTATACCCATACTTTTCTATACGTATTTTACCTACCCACCCATAAGTCTGTCTGAGTAGGGTTAAAAGAAATCGTTCACAATCTGTAATAAGTGGTTAATTTTAAAAGGAAAATATATATTATGGGTGGTGTAAAAACAGTTAGGCACAAATCTATTTGTGGCGTGACCATGCGTAAGTGTAGTTGCGTGTGTTGATTAATGGATGCAACAAACTTGAGCGTTACCACAGTTGATCGTGAATTGCAGCCCGGCTTTATTATAATTGCCCGACATTCGTATTAAATATGTATATGTTCGTTGCGAGATTTATAATTACAACTCTATATTTATACGCTATTGATAATGAACGCCTCTGCAAAAAGCGTACATCAAATTTATTAAAACCCACGCGAATCATGCGCCTTAACGAGCTACTGCGCGTTCGTGTATTTCTTAAAGGAAAGCCACCACATTAATAAATCGTTTATTGCCCTCCGTGCAACTACAAACTGCCTATTACGTACTCTGCATAATACGATCACATACCTACACACAGTAAATAAATATGTAGGTACATACTCCATGTCCCTTCGATACGTTTTATTATAAATTGCGAGGTACCTAGCCTATGTAGGCATCAAAACTTAAAATGAAACGGTAGAAAATGTGGTGTTACCGGCGAATGATAGAGAAGGTTAGAAGTAAAGAGGTAGTATTAGAAAGAATAGGGTGGTAGGACACCTTCTCAGGCATGAAGGTCTAGTCAGAGACATATTAGAGGCAGAAGCAGGAGTTAAGAGGAGACTTAGATTAGATTACTGTTCGCAAATAGTTAAGGATGTTAGATGTTCCAATTTTAGGGAAATGAGAAGATTAGCTCAGGATACGAAAGAGTGGAGGTACATGTCCAGCCAGTCTTAGGACTGACGACCTTATGATGATGATAATGAGTACCTAAATATAAATTTCAACTGGATAATATACATACTTAAGTACATTGAATTCGTAAGTGTTGTCTTCTCCTACCGTAACCTTATGATCTGAAGCAATGCCATTTGTAATAGCAATATACCTAACTTTTTTAATGTTCTTTAGTGATAGCATTTATACTAAATTTGTAACAAATATTTCAAAGTAGGTACCTAGAACAAATCTGAGAATAGGACACTTTATCTGACCTATGATAGTATTAATTTTTTCTCACTGTCACGAACGAATCAGAGGAATGTTTTACGTAATTTTACATATACAAAATAACTATGTTTACAAGAAAAATAATTACATATAGGCATATATATAGATGTCTTCGAAAATTTCGTATCTTAACTTAGGGGCTATGTACTACACTTTAATAAACACGTATATACGTATAACGCTATAGTAAAAAACGTAATAAACTAATTAAAAATAATTATACATACAAACAATGTTGTTTTTTGAATATGTAACGAAATGTTTGAATGTAATAATTAATACCGTAAATGCTATTAAAGTGTACATTTGATGAAAATTATCGCTTATACATTAAAGAATAGACTATGAAAGAAAATTTACATAGGTATTAAGTCGTGTGTAGGTACCTGCATGTACAGTTTGTAACAAAATAACGTTTTATTAGCTATTATGTACATATATTTTATACATTAGGTATAGGTAGGTACTTTCCATCTTCGTAATGTTACTATAGGTATTAGGTAGACGCAAACACGAGTTGTATGGAAATATCTATCTATGTATCGACAATCTTAAACGTAGGTACATAGGTATATTATATAAGTAAAAGCCAATAGGTTCAAGGTTAAAATAGTGAAATTAACAATAAGCGTGAATAGCAGTTCATAAAATACCTACCAATTATGATGAATAAGTTATTATAATATATATATATACTTTATAAAATACCCATTCAAAGTACTATACCCGCTATAAATAAATGTAGGTGTAGGTACAGCAAAAAACTTTCTTCTTACCTATACCTATCTGCAGCATGTATGCATTGAAATATATCGATATTCATCATGTCCAACAACACCAGTGTTTGAATACGAATCAGTTTTAAACAGTTTGTTTCTATTTAATTTTGGGACCTTTCCCAAACTCCATGACGTTTTAAAAGACTACCACTGAGGTATAACTAGGTAACTTAGTTATACTAAATAAAATATATCCGTTATTAAATTGCATACTGTATTCATGGATATTATACAAATTTCCAAATTCTTTAATGTAAACTTGAGGTCATTTGTTACATACACATCAACAACGACCTTGAAAGCTACACGTATGGATCCGTATTCTTAGTATTTTACTTGCACTGTATCGTACACAAAACCACGTCTATAATACATAAAAATAAAGTTTACGTAAACCTGAGTCTGAGCTCTATCCATCCAATATGAATCTTTAAGTTAATTTTAATTAGGCATGGGAACTCATAAAAAAAAAACGGTCATTCTAAAGGCAGCATTTTCTACGTAAAATAAACCCTTAAAAAAATAATTCATGATAGACCAATATTATAAATATTTCGTATTACTATTTCTAAAAAAAATTGCTTAAACCATTTAGAACAATTTTTTGTTATAAATAGAAATAGCAGTCACGTTATAGTTACCTACTGTATTTATATAATTTTGTGGGTCTACAACCGCAACTAATCGTAATAATAATAATAATAATAGACACCTAAATTAACTTACACTTTTGGCAAACTTGTTCTTGCCTAATGGGCATGTTAAATACTAGTAGGAGTAGCACGCTGTATATTTGACAAAATATGTAGAAAGTAGTAGCACTTGACCATGAACGGATTTTGTGGTTTGAGATGTTCCAAGTTAGATTAACAAACGATGCTATGAAAATCATGGTCAATAAACAAGGTAAAGTTTAGACCTACAAATACTACTGTACTCTTGCGTTAATTTATATTTCGTGCTCATTATTACTTAACATTCGTTTATTCATACAGATAAGTACCTATAACAGCTCGATCACAAAACATTTTGAATAGATGTTCCTTATTACATCAACAACACAACAAAAATACCTAGATGTTATTGGATTTATCCTTTTTTTTTGTCCTGTTAAAAATTGAAAAACATACGAATATTGCCAGGGTGCGCTTTTTAAAAAGGTGGTCGAGTGCAAGAGAATATTGTAATGGGTAAAAGCAAGAAAAGGGACTCACTCACCTTAATCCGACAACAGGTAGTCCCATGTCATCGACGAGTTCCGAAACGAGCAAGACCGTCGTGGCAGGCACTTGAGATTGGTGGGGATATTGAAGCAATCCTTGACTGTTCCCTTGCAATACAACGGACACAGTGCCTGTAGGATTTCCCGACGAATCCCCTAAACCACCAGAATTACTTCCGTCTATAAGCACGTCCGAAATGTGCTGTCCTTGTATCTGATGCGCACTAACATTATTAACTGTTATATCACTAGCATTATTGGACGAATACATTTCGAAACCCTTTTGACCGGGGGTTGTTGTATAAATGACAGTTTTACTACCGTCGTCGTAAATAAGATCGATCGGGGTTTCTTTTGATTCGCCGACTTCGTGGCTGTACACTTCGTCATCTTTTTCGTACAAAACTTCAGTTTTAACTTGCGTATAAACGGGGGAATTCCCGATGGCACGTTTCTCGTCCATTTCCTTTTTCAATTCCAGCACGTTTACAGGTGTCATAGTGGCGAGCATTGTCGGAGATACGGGCGATTCTCGGTAAGGAGACCGATCGGCCGGCGACGCTTGCGGGGGTGGAGGAGACATCAAGCCACCCTCACCCTCCACTGCTGGCGAACCATTCGACGACACGTCTTCTATGTTTCGGCGGGTCATTATTTTCTTTTAACTAAGATTTTTAACTAACTACCTATCTACGTATCTCTATATTTATATTTTTATTTGAGCGTCCTAATACACAGGTATCACAGAATCACGTTGAGCGTTTATTGCACTAATTAAGTATTACTATATGTTGTATGGCACCGATATGGCTGATCTTTATTTTTTTTTTGTTCTTGTAACAGGGTCTTCGTTCTCTCTCTTTTTCTCTCGCACTTACTCTTGCTAAACTTCGTTGCGCTTTCTGAAACAAAGAAGAGAAAGTCTCAGTTGGCTGTTTTATCGGATATCACTTCCGTTTTTACATGGGTAGGTGCCGACATAAAAATCCCATTCCTTCCCTTAATTTAATCGGCACTTATTTAATATTATGTAAAACTTGCCAGTCTATTAGTTTAATTACCTAATCTAATACCTAGAAGGAAGAAAGCAAAACTAACGCGCCTTTAAATGAAGTTACAGACGTGCATTTAAGTACCGAACGCATCGGAGACTTCAACGATGAGTTAGAACGGATACCTTCAACTACGTTATAATTTACCGCATTTTCAAGAACAAAATAATTACAATAGACGTATGTATAGTTAGATAAGAATTTATCCCAATCTATCAATGTACTATCACACTTTTGGATAACATGTTAAGACAAAAATACATAGGTATAGATACCTGTTCTCTAAGTATTGTTTGTTCAGTTTAAAAAGAAACGTTTTACTGAATGAATACAGATACAGTCTCACAGTGTAACATCACATACATACACACAGAGGTGGGTAGGTACTTTAATAATGAAAACTGTGTTCAAGTGACGTCATTTGAAATCGTCCACGTGCTGTAACTATAGCAGGTTTAACAACCATGTGAGTTTGTGGATCCTCTCTGGTTGTCTAGCAATTTTGCTTGCGGACTATTAATGGGGTAGCACGAACCGGTTTTTCCGATGCAGCTAACTGTACATACAACTGCCAGAATCACATGCTCATATCAAATTATACGTATATCTACAGATAACATAGTACATATATGTGTTTATGTAATTAAAGATACAAACAGGTATGTATCTAAAATTGGTGACTGTGCGACTGTAGTTTTTTTTCTAAGTATGACGTACATATGTGGGTACGATTGATAGTTGATATCCATTAGGTACATGGGTAATGTGTTATGTTACGTCGAGTTAAGTACCTACAGTAGGTATGTACATGGTACCTACGTTGAAAGGATTGGTCGGATCGATGGATAGTGTGTCTGATTGGACGACGTTCTATCAGCAGGTAAATACCTGCCTCTACTGATTAGACAGTCGAGGCACATCGCTGCTGCTGCATAATAATAATAATTTAATAATATATACGCCCATTCAAAGTACTATACCCGCTATAAATAAATGTAGGTGTAGGTACAGCAAAAAACTTTCTTCTTACCTATACCTATCTGCAGCATGTATGCATTGAAATATATCGATATTCATCATGTCCAACAACACCAGTGTTTGAATACGAATCAGTTTTAAACAGTTTGTTTCTATTTAATTTTGGGACCTTTCCCAAACTCCATGACGTTTTAAAAGACTACCACTGAGGTATAACTAGGTAACTTAGTTATACTAAATAAAATATATCCGTTATTAAATTGCATACTGTATTCATGGATATTATACAAATTTCCAAATTCTTTAATGTAAACTTGAGGTCATTTGTTACATACACATCAACAACGACCTTGAAAGCTACACGTATGGATCCGTATTCTTAGTATTTTACTTGCACTGTATCGTACACAAAACCACGTCTATAATACATAAAAATAAAGTTTACGTAAACCTGAGTCTGAGCTCTATCCATCCAATATGAATCTTTAAGTTAATTTTAATTAGGCATGGGAACTCATAAAAAAAAAACGGTCATTCTAAAGGCAGCATTTTCTACGTAAAATAAACCCTTAAAAAAATAATTCATGATAGACCAATNAATAATATATACGCACAAGGATATTTCGGAAAAGAAAAAGGCTACGGTGGTGGCAACACAACAGAGCGGCGACCACAGCAAAAAGGTCAAAGAGCACACCATTGAGCAACGTCATACACACGACGTCGCCGTCGTCGTCGTCATCATGATGGTTGACACAGCAAAGCATTTACAGCACTACTCCCGAATTCGGATAACCGGTCAGGTTGGTGCTGCAAGTGCGAACAAGACACAACCTTCCACACATAGCCATGCATTCATCTAATATAAATACATTTCGAACATGTATTGTACGTGTTTATACGTAAATAACATATACCTATCAAACAGGTAATGGTATAAGCGTATACGTATACCTACGTGTATGCACTGGTATATTTACTAGGGGAGGTGCGATTCGTCATTCAAGATCAAGTATGAGCAATAGTTGATAAACTAGTCTGCAGCCGGTAAACAGGTGCTATTGTGAACGATCAGTTAGTCCGAAAACAAATACGGCAAACGTAGCAGGTACTTACCAACTTACCTACGAGTAAGCAGGCAGTTAATACGGTACACTCGAGATCTGCACAATTTCACGAATACCAGCAATTTTTATACACACATACTAATGTGAATCGCGTAGTGCAGAAGAACGAGAAGAAATTGATTTTACAAAACGTGGCACTGTGGCTCGCAACATCCTGGATTTGAGGATGCACGTCTCTCTGCAGATATTCTACAACGGCAAAGCTGCTACGAAGCTACGTAGTACCCAGTACGTATTATGCACGTACGTTATACCTATACTAATCGTAAACGAGAGTTGTGGTATTCTTACTACCTACCTATCAAAGAGGCTCCCTTTGTCCGAAGATTCGATTACCCATGGCATCACTACAATTCACTAATTTCGTTGGATCGGGATGAAACATCGAAAAGCAGCAGCAAACTCAAACATTCCTCAATACCTAAAGGCAGCTTTTTATTTTTCAATCACATACTAACCGTCTACAGGTGTTTCGAACTAGTACTCTACTGACTGTTAGCAGCGGCAGGCTTTACTCGATGCCTGGCTGCAGGTATTACGACTCTAGCACACAGGCTAGCAAGAGGCATGCGTCCTTGTCGATTGAGACTCAACCACCGCAACAGTACGTCGTAGCTAGGCACGTTCTTCGCCGGCTCCAGTCTCAGCCTCCAGGCTTAAGCTTCCAAAGCCAACTCATGAGCGTAGACAAATCTACCTGTGACCGACCACTGAAGAAATAATGGAAATTTCCAACGTATACGCCGCCAACAGGTGTCCACAATAAAAACAAACCCACCATTCCTCTCTCTCTATACAAGTCCATAAAAATTTTCACTCCAAGGGACTACAAGAAGGTAAATACGAAAAAATCAACCGACCTGCATTTTATTCACCAATACCAATGCACAAAGAAATGCTCACGACTCACGAAAAAACATGCATAATTAGGTAAATGCCTATCCGGCAAAAGAAATCGGACAGCAGTCATAAATCACTCATCGTGGAAAGATATTTACATAAATACATTAAACCGGGAGGACTTGCTCCAAATACCACAACACCTCGAGTATTGCGATGAAAATGCTCACAATGTAAATACACCAGTGTTCTGGTATTTGGAGTACCTGCCACAGTCCCCTTTTATGTTTTGGTTTAATTTAAAGTCGAGTTTGTGTTTCATGTACGGTAAAATGCCTATTCAGTTCTGAATGTGGTACTCACACTCTCCCATAGTGATTATAAGTAGGCAGACAGGTAAAATTTCGTTACCGGCGCTTATGTTATTTGTATCCCGATCGACCATTTGCACGGTCCAGTGAACGTGTCTCTCTCACACTCGTACCGTGCCGACTTGGGTACGGCGTAGGAGGTCGTACCTCCAGCCAAAGATTTATTCGGACATAGGCGGCTGCGACACGCAAACATCGGTCAAGAATCATGGCCGTCTCTCTATTACGGACAGTGCGTGACAAGGCTGAAGATAGCGGTAGAGCGTGAGTGAGATTGAGATCGACACAGCCAGCTCACCTGCATCAATCGACGACAGACTGACCACCATATTATCCCCCAGCCGCAGCAGCGGCAAAGACTTTGGCTCGGTTGCGGACAGCAGTCCGCGATGATGCTGCTGCTGTTGCCTTTGCTGCTGTTATTGCTCCTGCAACACACACACACACACACACACACATTCGACTTTAAGTCTATTAAGCAACAAAACAACATCAGCAATGACCAGACTCGCGTCCTATACGACGGCGTATCAGAGCTGCGTATATAGCGTGTGTAGGTATATATTGAAAGGATGCTGTGGCAACAGCGGACAATATGCCGCCAGACTGAAAGAAGAAAGAGCTTAAAACCAACTACGTATTGGAAAAAAAAACTTTCAACTAATCTACAGCAACATATTATAGGTGCAGGTTTAAGGTCAGATAGGTACCTATATAATGACATACGTACTTTTACGAAATGTAATTATACCTATAGTATCTACCAGGTACTGTAGGTACCTACATGGCTCTGATCTTTTTTTTTTGTCTCATAACCCTTCTTTCTGACGCCATCCCAAGTAGGTTCGTTCAGACCTTGGTAAACAAACCAGATTTTTTCATTTTTTTAACGTCGCTATAGAGTATTATTAAAGCTTTAGAGTTTCGACGACTCGCGGGCTAATATATATAATGAATAATAGGTTTATTTGTAAGTACCTGCTTCCATATTTTATTAAATGCTAAACTAACGCTAAATTGTAAAGTTATTTTGTATATCGTACTTGACGAAACTTTATAGGTAGACGTAGATAAGCGATATGTTCTGAGAAAAGTACAAATGTTTAAACGTCCATTTAGCCTTTTGTATTGGTTTGTTCGTTTTACAAAAGAAATGTTGATCAATCAAGCATTAAGGGAAAGAACAAGACGCCACGGCGTAATCGAAACGAAATTCGTCAAACTGAAATTGGTAATGCCTTTTTATTTTAGTTATTTTAATGTATACGTATCCGTAATGTTGTTTAAAAAATGGAAAAAGGCGCACAGGGTCATTTAGAAAGATTTTTATGAGAGACTTCAACGATGCGTCAGGCAACGAAACTGCCGCACGTACGTACAAACCTGCGTAAGTAATGTAGATATTTATCTACTTATAGGTACCAAATGTGAAGGTTGTAAATTTGTCTTAATTTAGTAATTATATAAAAATACTTTTAGTTTTCCTTAATTATCTATACACTTATATCTGTGCCATATTTTGATACTTGAATTACAATTAAGAAATAAATTTCAGTTTTCAATTTCGGGCATTAGTACCTACTTACCGTGTGATATACCCAGGTACCTACCTAGGTACATAAAATTAGTTATTAAACGCGAAGTAATAGGTAGGCACCTACTTAATATCTACCAGGATAATAAGTCGACGTAGCCATCGAATGGAAGAGAAAAGAAATGAAAATGAAAAGGTGCAGAAGGAGTGCATTAGTTCTGGCATTAACATCGGTAAATCGGTTTTATCGACAGTGGTTAGGTATGAAGTCGAAGCTTGAAAAACAGAAGCAATGCGTTGCTATAGAGACAAGCAATGAGACAGACTACTTCAGAATATCAATATCGCTATATCCAATGTAATATTGAGCAGGGTTAGCGACCTCATTTTTCTTTATTTAAGATCGCATCTGCAACTGAAATTCACTCTTTAACTATTTTGTCACTGCCGATTACTATTCTTATTCGCGGATTCGAATTCGTACACATGAAAAAATACAACTGATCTAAAATTGAACTTCAACTTTTCTATTCTAACAATATAGGTATCTTTTATAATAAATAGGTACTTACCTAACTAACAGGCATTATCTTTTTCTTCATATTTTGTGATTGAAGCAATACGTAATTATTACTTAATATTTTTGTCATTTTCTCCATTTACTTTTTTTAATACGAATACCTAGTGGTTAAACCTATTAAACATAAGCATCATCAGCTTTCTGGGTTACCGTTTAGAAAAATTCAAAACTCATCCTTGTCTTTTAACTGTAGTACCTAATTCACCACATTTGTTTATATACTTACTTGTTTATGAAAATATAAAATTTGTTTGGCATACTTCGAAACATACTTTTACTAGGTACACACATTTACTACTTATCTTCAGCAAAATTCTATTTTATTCTCATTTTTGCTACACGTTTTTATTAAAAAAGATTATTTCCTACTATATCTTATTATGTATATATAGGTAGTTCCAAACCCAATAGGTTAAATTTACCTGCACAGTCAAGCTTGGATGTTGGATCATAAAAAGTGATGTACATAATATAGTCCCTAGCTACATATGTATAGTAGTTTATACATATTTGCAGTAAAAGGAAAAGAATACAGTTTTGTCGGTAAAGATTCATATACGATACTGTAATGATTTACCTATAAATATACTAACAAATCGATTTGATTGGACTCCTATTGATTATATGTTTGCATGGGTACCTTTACAATAGTGCAGTGGTTTACGCTCAAGATTATTTTTATTCAATCCAATGTCATTGTTACATATGACATTGTTATATGTTTTCACCATTTTATCGCCAAGTTAACAGAAAGCACACACTTTCACTAAATTGTTGAAATAATTAAACATTTCCGGATTTTCTTATTAGTTATTTATGATTCGAGTGAATGGTAGAATTGTTTTGTACATATACAACATTGACAACTGTAATATTATGTATAGCTATGTTTTTTATTGATATATTAGGTACCAATGGTACATTTTTTCGTTTTAAGAGTATAAAAACTTTTAGGTGGATTGGTAGGTAGATACTTACATGCATTTAAAAGAAGTTGAAGTTGTTCGTAAATAGAACTTTTAAATGTTTTTTAAATACGGCTTTACCTTTATGTGGTAATGCAGAAAAATGATAATACGTACATAATGTTAGTATATACATATATGTGATTGTATAAATGTCGGTTAAGGTTTTCGTTTATGAATGACCAGCGGTGACAATTCGGTTTATGTTTGTGTTGGTACCTCAAATATTTCCCACGAATAGTAAATCACGTGTTGCTGGTTGAAACTCGTATGTCCAGTTCTGGTCAGTCCGTTAAGGGGTTAGAAAATACCGGGTTAAAGGTCAATTTTACTAATGCGAGGCTCAGTTTAATGTAGAAGGGTTGTTCTCACGACTGCCCTTTGTCCACTCGACATATACCTACGGACATTCTTTTTATCGCGAAACAGTAACAAAGGTATGGTCAAGTGATGGTCACTTCAAAGGATAGCTGTGGATGAATCCTACAAATGATATATTCGTTAGTTCTTTCTACCCCTTTTTCTCGCAAACTGGTTTCTTTAATAGTGTAACGGGGTGAATTTTTATACTAAAATCCTACCCGCTTCTTTACATGTTCCTCTTTCGTTTGTTCCAGGATGACCCTGTACATAATTATTAACGATTTTATCTTTCGTAGGCACAACGTCTAAGTAAACAAATCACACACAAAATAGATTAAAACGATAAATAATTAAATGTAAAATTAAAATTCCCACACTTATTTTACTGCATTAACAATTGTTTTGCTATTTATTTGCAACTTCTGCAACAGTTATGGGATTATTTGTACCTAAAAATTAGACCAAACACGTGTCCGCTGTTGTATATACAAAGGGGCGAGACTCTTTAATACTATTCCCGGTAAAAACGATGTAAAATTTTAAACGGAGGTTTAATTTTAAATTAAATTTAAACATCTGAAATTCAGTTAAACATATACCTAATAGGTATTTTAGGTGAAGATTAAATACGCATTGTAGTTTCAAATTCTTAGCTACTTAACAATTTCTCCACGATTATAAATACCTATTGGCACTTGTTCAGCAAGTTAGAAATGTATTTAAATTCCATCGACTTTGTTAATTAAGAATCACTTTATCGTCATTATTACTTTATAGGTTTAAAAACTATTTATAAGTTTATAATCAAATAATTAAGCATCTATTGGCAAAAGTGATTCATATTGTATTATGTACTTATTAACAATTAATACAAATCGATTAATATAGTTTATATAGATGATATGTATATTTGTATATATGTGGTACTTATATATCATTTTCGTTGCGCATACATACATAGTAATGTGTATTCTCTTAAGATAGAACAATTATCAAAAGAAGCTATTATATAAATAAGTAAATGTTTCAATTATGTAACTAATTAGTTTATTAGATTATGATAGATTGTAGAACAAATTGTGTTTTTTTTTTCTTAAAATTTCTGCATTTTTATTATACATATCCTCCTAATTAAACTTATATGTATATATACTTCGGAGTGATTTTGTCCTTTTGATGCTTCAGTTCGTAGAAAAAGTACTTGGTATAAGCATAAAGCATATCTATACAAAAACTTTTACTGCCTACCGTTGAACTAACTAGGTAGAGGTGGACACATATTTACCTGAAACATAAGATTCTCCGTTGTTAGGTCAACAGTTCAAAGTTTCAGGGGCAACTTAATTTTCAACGACACTTGTCACACGTAAATATTGTTTCTAGGAAATGACAATTTTACTCGACTACCTACATGTTGTTGTTATAAAAACATGAATTAACGTTATCCTTATTATGTTTTACAGTTGTCGCAACAATTGCAAACTGACGCTTTATTGTTTCTTTTATGGACATTTTATTATCATTTTTTTTTTAACAGAAATGACAAAACAAGTTCAACTTTACAGTATGACCCAGGAAAAGGCTTCCTACCTTTTAATGGACTCCTATTGATTATATGTTTGCATGGGTACCTTTACAATAGTGCAGTGGTTTACGCTCAAGATTATTTTTATTCAATCCAATGTCATTGTTACATATGACATTGTTATATGTTTTCACCATTTTATCGCCAAGTTAACAGAAAGCACACACTTTCACTAAATTGTTGAAATAATTAAACATTTCCGGATTTTCTTATTAGTTATTTATGATTCGAGTGAATGGTAGAATTGTTTTGTACATATACAACATTGACAACTGTAATATTATGTATAGCTATGTTTTTTATTGATATATTAGGTACCAATGGTACATTTTTTCGTTTTAAGAGTATAAAAACTTTTAGGTGGATTGGTAGGTAGATACTTACATGCATTTAAAAGAAGTTGAAGTTGTTCGTAAATAGAACTTTTAAATGTTTTTTAAATACGGCTTTACCTTTATGTGGTAATGCAGAAAAATGATAATACGTACATAATGTTAGTATATACATATATGTGATTGTATAAATGTCGGTTAAGGTTTTCGTTTATGAATGACCAGCGGTGACAATTCGGTTTATGTTTGTGTTGGTACCTCAAATATTTCCCACGAATAGTAAATCACGTGTTGCTGGTTGAAACTCGTATGTCCAGTTCTGGTCAGTCCGTTAAGGGGTTAGAAAATACCGGGTTAAAGGTCAATTTTACTAATGCGAGGCTCAGTTTAATGTAGAAGGGTTGTTCTCACGACTGCCCTTTGTCCACTCGACATATACCTACGGACATTCTTTTTATCGCGAAACAGTAACAAAGGTATGGTCAAGTGATGGTCACTTCAAAGGATAGCTGTGGATGAATCCTACAAATGATATATTCGTTAGTTCTTTCTACCCCTTTTTCTCGCAAACTGGTTTCTTTAATAGTGTAACGGGGTGAATTTTTATACTAAAATCCTACCCGCTTCTTTACATGTTCCTCTTTCGTTTGTTCCAGGATGACCCTGTACATAATTATTAACGATTTTATCTTTCGTAGGCACAACGTCTAAGTAAACAAATCACACACAAAATAGATTAAAACGATAAATAATTAAATGTAAAATTAAAATTCCCACACTTATTTTACTGCATTAACAATTGTTTTGCTATTTATTTGCAACTTCTGCAACAGTTATGGGATTATTTGTACCTAAAAATTAGACCAAACACGTGTCCGCTGTTGTATATACAAAGGGGCGAGACTCTTTAATACTATTCCCGGTAAAAACGATGTAAAATTTTAAACGGAGGTTTAATTTTAAATTAAATTTAAACATCTGAAATTCAGTTGAGATTGTTTAAAATTTAATTTTTGTACATATATGTAGTAGGTATTTCAGGTAAAGATTAAATACGCAATGTAATTTGTACATAAAAAGTGGGCGAAACACGTGTCCGTTTTTATATATACATAGGGGTGAGACNTTTTCCAACGAATCACAATATATATTAATAGAATAATAGAAATAATTAATTATTTTAGTAATATTATTAAAAGATATTTTCTTGTAAAACTTGGTTGAAAACCGTTACAATCTTTTATTTGGAGATGCTAAAAAGTATTTAGCACAAAATCTTTCATGCTCTTGCATTTTTTAACTTTAGTGGTAATATCTTTGGTGTTAAATAATGTGGGAGGTCAAAATATTTTAATGTCTTTATTGTGTTTCTTTGTAAATTGCAATAGTTTGTTAATTTACATACTTAATTTTTAAAAGCCAAATGATGAAGTATGCTTCTTTCAAATAAATTATTTGGAAAGCATTCAAAAAATATTTTACATAGGTTTTTGAATAACTAATTGTTCAATATCATGTAAAGCCCACTGATGTTCTGCTAATTCCAGAGCTTCCCATTCAGATTTAAATGCGACTTTGGAATCTGTTGGCATTGCAACTGCTGCTCCTGACATTTGTTCTTGCATATGTCTTGACTGGTCAGCTCCTTAAACAAATGGGATATGTAAAAACTGAAAACTTTCCACATTCATCCTCTTTTGAAGTGGTTATTCAATTAATATACGAATTTTGTTATTCATACCGTTGTTTTCCCCCAAAACCAATGTATAAATGCTCCTCAATCCAAATACATTCAGAAAATACCACGAAGCTGATGATACCCAGGATGCATCCAAATGCATTTGTTCAATTCCTCTTTGCAGCATTGGTTTAAAGCGAAGAGTAAGTGGAAATGGAACTTTTGCTAAAAATATAAAGATTAGTTAAGAGTTGTAATAATCATCACTGTTGTATTTGTTATCTTATTACTTGTAATAAATCCAGATAGCATCCAGTTGATCCAACCACCAATAATAATCATGGGCAGTACATTTGTAATGTTTCCTTTTAACATGTCAGTAATCATCGTGGGGTCTGTCATCATGTTTTGATTGACCGGAGCTCGTTTCTGTGTAAGGTATCCACCTTCTTCAACATTGAAAAATTGTCTTCTTGAAGAGAACGATGATTTTGGAATATATTTACCATTCTCCCTCAAAATACGTGATCGCATGATTATCTGGCTGAAATATGAATTAATTAATTATTATCTTAAGAACTGTTGCTTGTCGAAATGAATAATAGTTTCACCTGTCCTGTAGTTGCTGAGGTTCTGCCTTCTTCTGTGAGATAAACAGAATGGAAATATAATGCCTTAAAATTCCAACTAGAAATGTGATCACTACAATTGGTAAAAATACCCATCCTCTAATTTGAGAGTCCACAACCAAATCAGAGGTCATGTTTTTGAATTATGTACTATATACTAACGTGTAATTTTGATCAAATACGATTTTTAATTATAATTTCTTAGCATGTTAGTCTAAGCACTGACAGAACTGTCACAAATTTAGGTTATGTCAATATGCCAATGTAAATAAAAGGCAGGACCGTAATGAATTATAATTTATCCATTCATGGTGACTGTCTCCTTTTTATTTTTAAATGTATAATTTTTTATATATATTACTTTTCATTATATTTACTGTAAATATTAGACGACATTTAATTAAATTTAACCTGTTATTAAAAAGAAGTTGCTATATTAATTGAATATGAAAAATAGAAATTAATGTCGCGAAAATTTTTATTATCAAGCAGTTCAAATTATCTTTTAATTAATTTATTAAAATTAATTAATGTTATTATTCGATTTCTTTGTATTCTTCAGGTAAATCACTGAGGAAATTTGATACCAAAAACATTTTTTAATAACCAACTTGCTATCATAATTACAAATGTTTTTAATATTTCGAATTACAGCATACTTTGAAATGTAAATAGGTATAATTTGATTAGTGATTAGATTACCTTCTGTTCGATATATCAAATAAAATGTTTTAATATATGTACATATTTGATTCGCAGAAAATACGATAAAAATCTTTAAAAGATTCGATGGTAACACTTGTAATATGCAAGGCTAGTATCTGAAAACCATGAATAATAATAAATTGGTTCTGAAATGATTCATCTTATACAAATACGATATTTGCTTCAAATAATTAGCAAGTAAGATATGTCTTAACCAGCAGTGCGATAGTAATATATATTGCGACCAAATTATTTGGCAATGAATATAAAATAAAAAGCTTTTAAATGTCCGCATTGTGCTTTTTAGAATGATTGCTTATTTATTCATCGAAAAACATTAGAAATTATTATTCATTGCATAGACAAATCGTTTCGTTTAAATCTTTTTATTTTAATTCATCATTTTATTGTCAATTTTAGTTTCCAAAATATTAGCAATTATGAAGGAATTGAATGTTTGTAATATGACAGTTACTTAGAGATTTATAATATAAGAAATACAGCAATATATTTGTTAAAAAAAAAATATTTTTAATGTGTAATAAATCAAATGAAATGGAATAGATGGAAAAGTATGGCGTTCTGTAAATATCGGTATCAGAAAACACATTAGAAGTACCTAATTAAATTGTATTAATTATTAGCGAATATTTTTTTATGTGTAACTACAATTTTCAATTTTCTGTAGTTAAGGAAAAGTTCAATGTACGATGTAAGCGCTACATGTAAAACAGAACATTATTTATTTATTACAGGACAGAGGAAGAGTGATTTTATACTTTTTACGTGAGAAACAAAAAAAACGAATTTAATTTAAATACTACGTTAATTTATTAAACATAAAGGTAGTGTGTTCTGAATTCCAACTAATCGATCTAAAATATTGTCTTCATTAAGTAGAAAATGTGTTAGATTTTGAATTTTAATGTATTATCAGATATTCAAGGTATCTTATCCAAGCTAAACCGCGTTAACTGTAGAAAATGCAAAAAAAAAAAACCATTCTTTGTTTACAGGTGTTAGAATAGAAAACGACCACCTGTACATATTAATGTTTACTCTTTATCAATACAAATCACATCCAGACTTATTAATGCTAAAAACCAGACTGGTAATTTCGTTTTACATGAACATAAAACACGGAATGAATTTTTTATTATTAGCGAGAACATCCTTGTCTAGATAGGTGTGACCATAGGGTTGGTTAATGAGGGGGGCCGAAATACAGACTATTTAAATGTATGCCCATAATCCTGATAGGTTAGTCGATCTCACAAAGCACTTCTTATCGATTCTTATTATTGATTAAAAATAAAATCAATATGAGCTGGATTTTCGTTTGTTTGTTCTCGGTTTTTGTGGTAATAAATGCATTGCCACAAGTTAGATATCAAGCGGGTAAGTCAATTTTCGATTTTCTATGCATTAGTATCTACATTTGTAATTAAAATAAATCGAGTTTACAAAAAAGCTTTGAGCCAGTGTCACCAGTTGAGTTGCTCTTAAAATATTTTTAAGAGATTTTTTTTCCTAGGAGACGCTCGATTGAGACGATCATCGCCAAGAGCTGCCGTTATGTTTGGTAGATATTACGGTCGCCCGATTAAAAGAAACACCGAAAATGAGTACATTCCAGCCCCCCAAAATGCCATGTCGGCTTTTGTTGTTGGTGAGACGGTGGGTACCAGTTCTTATGTCGGCGAGGTGGGAAATTACGACTCTAATCTTAACACAGTGGAAGCAGCTGATTCGTTTGAGTCCGAGCAGACCGAAAAAGTCGTTCAAAATAACGTTTATAAACCTCCATCGGAAGATTTTACGACTATTTCACCCCCCATCGAAGTTACAGAACTCGGCGCCGAAGAGGTACCTCATCCAGAAGCAACCACCGTAACTGTTAAAAGACGTCCATCTAGCAGCAGCAGCAAACCATCTTCAGTGGCCACCGATGTTCAAAAGGACGAAAACGAAGACGACGAGGATCAAAGCGGATTTTGGCCTTTCAAAGTTAACAACCGCGGACAACCGGTATACAATGCGTTTTTCCCTATAACGTTGGGAGGATTAGGTGGAAGATCCAGGGTTAAAGCGTACGATGGCATAGAAGAACTCCCTTCTCCTGGTGCAGCAACAGCTATTGCTAATAGCTTTAGCACTGGAAAAGGGGGAGTAGCCACAAGCCACGCTACATCTTACGGCGATCCTTACCTAAGTACTCTCCTGAGAAGCGGATTCAGCTTTAATAAAAACAAAAACCTACAAGGTGTAACGCTCTAAAAATTATAATCATTTTTTAATAAGTTTTTCAGATGATGTTAAATTAGTAACTATGTCATTTGTAATTAAGCAATTGTTGTGAAATACATGTTTCTGAGTGGAAACCTGGCATTTTAATATATGTGTGGTAAAAATAACGAAGTCTACTAAATTATTTTTTAAAGAAACTTAAATTTAATAGTTATGTAGGCGCTCTTATTTTTTATAACAAGAAATTTTGCCGTTTTGGTTTAAAGATGGAAAATTCTCCTAGCAGCAACAAAATAAAACTCGCATTTTACGGAATGATAATTAAAGAGGCAATTTTAGGAATATGCTGTTTACTTTTCAACTAATTATCGCATAGAGTGAGCGAAGTTGAAATTTACGCAAAACCAAGCACTTTGAGGTTTCTTTGATTCCCATAATTATTTTTCGCCGACGAATTGCGTCTGTAACACAATAACATTCTTATCAATTGACGTCTTTGTTACCGTACGTTGTCTTACTGAAACGGACACTCTGTATTTAAATTTGATATCCGTTTGAATTTGTCAATTGGTTTCGCATTTTTAACATTAAGAATGCTACATTAATATTTGACAAAATATGAAATAAAAAAAATCCCATTCCGTGCAGTACACCCTAACAACGTTGTTAATATCAATCAACGTTATACTCGCTGATCCAGTACATACTTCATTAAGTTTATAAAATAATATTTCTCTTCAAACAATACCTTCGGTTAAGTTATTATTTATTTACTATGATTGGAGAGTTCTGATTGGAATTTTAAGTTTAGCTAATAACAGAAAGAAATATTACACATTTATATATACAATATACGTACTTTTATTAGATATTTGTACATAAATTCCAATTAATTCTACCTCGCATATAGAATAATGTACCTATTAATACGATAGCATTTTTTAACTAAAATTAACTGGTGCAGTTTTTTAATTTAATAAAAATCGTATCGTACATAGGTATCTATTTTGTTGTAAAAGAAGAAGAAAAATAATAATGTTTAAAAATTTGCATTGGAAACATCGAATGCTGTAAAGTGTAACGAAAGGACATTTGTTTTTCTTTTTACTTATTTCTGCGGGGTTAATTTTGTAAGATGCTCCACCAAGGCTTCTCTCTCTTTGAACAAAGGGCGGACGAAAGGGGTATAAATAAAATGGGGATCACTCATCCGTCTTCATTCAGACTCTACTCCGTTAATACAGCAGTCAGTCTATTATCGTTATCGGTACTCATTCCAACTTTTTATAATAAAAAGATGCGTCGATTAATGGTGTTGTTTTTAATATTATCAACGATAATAGCGATGTCATTCGCGCAACTTAATTTTTCGACTGGTTGGGGGAAAAGGGCTAGTAACGCGTCCCCTAATGGAGGAAGCAACGAAAACTGCAAAACATCAGTTGAGGTCCTCATGCTCATATACAAATTGATACAGGTAATGATTTAATATAATACATAAAAAAAGACATTTTTGGAATATGTTACAACTCGTTTTGACTGGATGCTGGGGCCTACGTTATTTTTTTTTTTACTAATGATATTTATTTTTTTATAGAACGAAGCACAAAGGGTGTTTGAATGCAACAAATTTACAAATGATAAATAACTAGATTGTACATAGGGCTAATTAACTATTCCTAGGGCAAAAAAATATTTAAATGTCCAATCTACCTTTGGGTTTTTGATTGTATATATAGCGCATAAAAATTTACTAATAAATTGCAGTGAAGTATATGTACTTGTTTTATTTAATTAAAAATTCGATTTTAGATTTAACTAAGAACTGTGTTGGTAATTTTTGAGGAATGCTATACATGTCTATTTCAATTCATATTTTCGGAGATATGTACGTAAATAACTGGGTATACTATATCTTGTTCATTTATATTATAATCCAATTGTAAATATTTAGAATTAATTGTATCAATGAACAGGTGAAATAGTTATTGAATTGAATAGGTATCGCAAACAGTTTTGGAAAAAACTAATTCATTTTATGTGATTATGGCATGAAATAAGAAAATTGTGTTTATCAAAAATAACGAAATGTGTTATTCTGTTATACCTAATAGGTACAATTGCACTTTTTTGCAGCTTAATAATTACTGTTTTCACAGTAGTTTACATCGTATCGGTTTTTTGTTTTTACTATTGGTGTTACTATTTTATACTGATAATAATATAATAATTCCAACAGTAATCGTACCACCGTAATCACTCACTGTGATTATTATTACACGTAATTATCGTCAAGTGAATGAAAATCTGTCCTCCTCATTGCCACGTAATTTCGTATATCTGTCTCTTACGAACTTTGTGCCTAGCCTGCATCTGGCCTGTTATATACAATTTATTCAATGGTACAATGGTTGATCCGAAACATACCTATACATACATCTATGTAGTAGCTGATGGTTGCTGAAATACCTACATATTATTTATATCTATGTAGATATATATAAGTTTTATGTAAAGGGGTCGCAGACGAAAAGGGGGATTAGTTAATGTCCTGCGTCGTGGGTGAATATGTTAGAATAATTATAAACACAAATATGTTTTGTTATTAAACAGAAATGAAGATAAATTTTCAGTTGTAGTGATTAAGGACAAACTTCGGTAAATTTTGTCCAAACAGTTGTACTTTTGAAAATGACAGCTGAAAAATATCTGTGTTTTTGCACTGGCGAATGTTTATTTACTAATAAGAGATATTGAAGAATAGACCCTTGCGTTTGTTGTGTGCTTGTCGTAAAATGACGTAATTTTCTGAGGTTAATAGCAGTGAGACCGAGAGAGACTGTTTAGACTTCGAAGCATAAAACCATAATTATAAATTACAGGTTATAGCAAATTTGTTACCATGATACGGTTTTGTAAATGTTTTCCGAGTGCTTGTTTTCAGACTCCAATGTATCGAACGTGTTTCAACAAGTGATTGTGACAGTGTAACTCAGCAAGTGCTTAACCAGACTGCTTGTGAAATGATTATCCGGCAGCATTTTAAAAATGTGTCGGGCCTTCTTTCACAAGCATGTTTATAGTTGATCCTGATTGTAATAGAGAATTTGTTGTTATCAGTGAAGGAGGTTTCTCGGTAGAAAACACAATGTCTTCTAATTCTGAAGTACGAACATTACCCAAGAAAAGAAAATATGACCCATCTAAATTGGAGGAGCTTGATACAAGTGCTTCTTATGTTCCCGTATCAGTTCTACAAAATATAAGTACTGCAATACCTCCTCAAGTGATAGCTGTAGATTATTCATGTGCTGGAAGGCCAGTTGAGGAAGAAATAAACATAAAACCCCCCATTATTGACCTAAATGAATGGGTTAATTATCGTGTATTAGCCAAACAAGGGGACTGGTATTATCCTGGTTTTATTCAACAAGCAATAGGAAGTGATGTAAGTATTGTCTTCTATAGGCTTTATTTACTGTCACTAGTAATTTTTCTGAATTTTGGTTGATAATACTCTGTTGATTAAATAATAGATCTGTTGATCTTTTAAAATAACCTGTACACTATAAATAATACTAATTTGAATTTTTATTCGATGTGTTGTTTATTATTGCAGCTAAAAGTGCAGTTAGACAATGAGGGCAAAATAGTACACTTTACAAATGTTCTTGCACCAGACTGCTATGATGTAATTGAAGATGCATGTCCATACATAAATTTACTTGCGTTAGGGACAAGAGTTTGCGTTCGACATGAACAAACAAAGTTTGTGGAAGGTGTTGTGTGTACCATATTAGATGGTCAACCTGCTCGTTTTGTAGTAGCTTTATTAGGTCCTCAACAACGCGAAGTGACTGTTAAAAGAGCTGATCTTAGATTATTAAGGCCTCCATGGAGAGATGATCTAGAAAGTATAAGAGATCCTTTACAATTACTGCCAACTATTCAACAGAATGATTATTTTCGTTCTTCTGTTAAATCCCCTCCTCCTCAACTTAGCACTCCAGTTTCCATTAATACTCCTCTTTCCAACGGTCGTCATTACGACGAGTTCTGTGAGAGTGAGGACGAATTAAGACGTGAAGATATTATGTTTCCAAGTGATGGTGATATTGCCAAATTATCAGGCAGTAGCAAAAGAAGTAGTATGCAAAGTAGGGCTAGTTCATCTAGCAGTGTAACTCTCAGATCTCAGCCAACTACTCCTCGTAGTCAGGCTACAACTCCTCATAAATATAAGAAAGGCGATGTCGTTTCAAATCCTAATGGAATTCGTAAAAAGTTTAATGGAAAACAGTGGCGTAGACTGTGTGCTAAAGATGGTTGTGGAAAAGAATCTCAGAGGAGAGGCTATTGCTCGAGGCATCTCAGTTTAAATGGCAAATGTCTTAGAAGCAGCGGCCCTTCGTTTCCGAGATCAAATAGTAAAGGGGAAGGTGAGGATACATCAAGAGATTCAGAGACATCTCCCAATTGTGGTGAAAGAAGAATTGCTGGTAGATTTGATCAAGATGAAACTGAAGCTGCTAACATGCTAAGTAAGAAGGGAGTTTCTTATTTACAATAAAAATAAATATATTTTCATGTAACTTGACTAATTTTTAGTGTCTTTGGGGAGCTCGAGGTCAGCTACACCAGCATTTTCACCTAATTGCCAAGGATCTTCTCCATTAACCATGCAGTCCCCTATTACTGTTGGTTCTAGGCAGAATATGTTTATGCCAATTAGTAGTCATTCACATGGACTATTAAAAAGAGGCTCTCCAGGCCCTTCTGGTTACAATATGCCTGCCCCATATCATCAACCTGTCATCAGGTATTGTCTTGTTTGGCGATATTAATTTTTCTACGTTATAGTTACTTATTGCTTCCAGGCCAGAATTGGTTCGTCCTAACCAAGGTGCTACAAGCGTAATTAGGATATCGCCTAATCCACGTCATTGGAATTCTCCTTCAGTTTCTGAACAAGAAAGCGTCATCTTGCAGCACGCTTTAACAAATGTTACTAGTCAGACAAATGCGGAAATTGAAAGCTTACAACTTCCTTCTGATACTTTGTATTGCGTCGTGCCTCAAATCCAAGATAAAAATTTTGTCAACGTTAAAACTGAATGTCCAACAGATGTAGAAAAATACAACGAAAATGTCGGTGTACAATACCAAGCTACAAGTGTTCCAAGACATGTGAGTTTTGGAATTTGCTATTTTGTCATATAATTTTACCATTTGTTACTATTTATTCGAAGGTTATACAGCAAGATCACATTAGACACACTCAGACAATCCACATTGCTCCTAATAGTTGTTTAAACAATATAACCCCTAGTGGAGCTGGTGTTTCGCCAGTAATAGTTCATCCCACCCAAATAGTGCCTGTTTTGCCTGCTGCCTCCCAATCAGTTGTTAAAAGGGTTCTTAATTCTGCTACTGTTCCAATTAGTGACATTCTGCCACAAACAACTGCTAGCCCTGTCATAATTAAAACGGAACAGGGTACGTACGTAACTCTCCCCTACTTATTTGTTTTATTGTACGTTCGTGTTATATTTTGTTTTAGTTACTGCAATGAATTTAAATCACAAAGAAACAAGTATACGCCCAAAAACACCTCAGAATTTTATTCCTGCCCATTCAGAGGTAGAAGTGTCTTCAGCATCAACATCCGAATCCCATTTAATAAACTTGAACAGCAATGTAACTTCCCAAATAGTATCTCAAACGCCACAACCAGTGACACAGTCTCCATCTGCCTTTGTTATACCTTGGCACACGGTTCTACCAATTTTAACGGTACCAACTAGTTCTTCGTCGCCACCGTTAAGACGTTCTCCGCCATTGTCTGCACCACCAATGACGAGTGTCCACTCTCAAGTGCCTGCACCCATTTCGGATATGGGAATGGGAGACGATGACGAGGATCCCGAACCAATGCCAGTAACAACTGAAGACGATGACGACGTATTTGAGCCGGAACCCACTGATAACGGAACTGTAAACAATACGATTTGCGCAAGTAATAAACGGAGAAGCCAGTCTCTCAGTGCCCTTCAAAGTTCAGTAAGGTCGTTTGTTATTTCTCATTTGTTTATCATTAATTACGTGAAATTGCAGAGTAAAGAACGTATTAAAAGACCAATGAATGCCTTCATGATATTTTCTAAAAGACACAGAGCTCTTGTTCACCAAAGACACCCAAATCAAGATAACCGAACAGTTTCGAAAATTTTAGGCGAGTGGTGGTATCAACTAGGTCCCGAAGAAAAAAAGAAATATGTGGACTTGGCATCGGAGGTAAAAGATGCTCATTTCAAAACTTATCCAGAGTGGAAATGGTAACAATAATTTATTTTTTACGATAACAAAGGAAAATACACTCTTGGTTATGTTGTATAGGTGTAATAAAGATCGTAGAAAATCGTCAACTGGTTGTGCTCGTGGCAAACTTAATTCAACAGGTGATATGGGGGAGTCAGGAGATCCATCTGCTAGTCCGAGGACTCCCCATTCTCCTCAGCCGATGGAGTCAGTACACTCTGCCGGACAAGAAGTGGACAACGGTGATCAATCTGATGAAGACCAAATNAAATATTACTAATATTTTGGAACAAACGTATTTGTTTTTTACTTAAAGATAATTTTAGTACTTACCATGCTAAACTAATTTGTTCTCCTTTACCAGTGAGTACATAATAAAGAGCTAAAAATATTTCAAGAATAAGTATAACGTATCTTTTTAATTTTAATAAACTTAAGTCACATGCTTTGTCAAGCACACCTTATTTAAAATTTAATAAGATAATTCTGTAAAACTTACCGAATACTGTTAGTGAAATTGTTGTGAAAACGATAAATGTTTTTAACAATAATCCTCGCATTGTGAATTATTAAAAAAAAAATAAGTAAATAACAAGCTAGCTCCTACACAAGGTAAAATTGAAAATTTTACATCACCGTTGCACTGAAAACATGAAAATGTTTAAGATACTGCTCTCAACTGATTAGCACTATCAGTATAATCTAAAAACAAATAAAACCCACTTTTAAACTTTATCTGTAACATACAAGGTTACTTCAAATAAAACTAGCCTTTTTTTGGCGATATTTCTTACCATCCTCGTACATTTAAAAATAAAATGAAGACTAGTAGGCAATATTTTGATTGTTACAGAGAACAAACAGTAAGTGAATTATGATAGTATAAATATGGAACGTAATGCTACACAGTATAGAATCGGTTAATTAACTATTTCATTGTATTCTAAATGACTACTATATTTTTTTTGCACTTGTAGATGTTTCAATGTTTGCTTATGTCTTTATTAAAACAAAGTTTATACTTTAACTTTTATACTGTGTAGTCAGTAGTTTTGCGTTAATTAAAGTGAATCATAACAATGTAAAATAAAAACGTGATAAGTCAATTTTATAATTTTATTTTTTGTTATAATTTTAATGACAATTAGATGGAATTAGGGACTGTATTTGTATTTGTATGAAAGAAATTTATAAAAAAGATAGTGAATTAAAGTGAATATTATGCCAGTGTTGTATATTTTAGTAAAATAGAAACCGGTGAAAATTATCAATTATATTATTATCATTAAAAGAAGTGTATTGTTTTCACAAAACATGGTAAAAAGAAAAAGAGTTTGTCAACTTGTTGTCTGTAGTTGTTTCTGTAGGTTGTTTAACATACGTTTTGTCATTTGAGTATTATATCATGTTGAATGGTATAAATATAAATTTATAATTTAAGTAAGTTGATAAACTACAAAATAGTGGTCAATAACCAATTTAAAAATAAGCTGTAAGAAAATTTTGTAGTTTCTTGATCTCTAATATTTCCAAATAGCTTAATTTTCTTGTATGTGTATTTTCTTACTTATCTATATTCTATCATAAATTGTATTTTAAACTTGAAATACTCTAAAACTTAACGGAAACGAATTAAATCTAGACGAAAAGCTTATCTGCTAATAAGTCAATGTTTTATTAAAAAATAACAAAAATCGGCTTGTTTCGAGTGTCAACTATTTTAAAGTTAGTCATCAAATAGTTTATAGCAAAGTAATGCAAATGAACTTGTACAATAGTCACACATATTAGAAAATAAACCAGTATATCTTGTAAACTAAATTTAAGGCATAGTTATAGCAGATAGTATTCTTCAAGATATGTAATTAAAGGGCCCTATGTAACATTACCTGCTCTTTTATTCAATCATTTGTTTATTTACTATATTTTAAAAAGCCACATCATTTATATCTGGCGCTAATTTTATATACAGTAACAAGTTGCGTAACTAGAGGTCGCCATCGGTGCGTTTCTTTTAGAGTCCTCTATAGTATAGTACTATAGAGGACTCTAGTTTCTTTTTAAATGTCAATTTTTAAGGTTAAGTAGTATTTGTCAAGTAACGTTATTTTTGATAATATTGTACTTTATTAAAACTTTTATGTTAATTTTTAAATTGGAGAAGTTTTTAATTAAGATGCCGAGAAATTGTAAATAGCTGGAAATAGTAGATAATTAAGATAGTTCAATTAGAAGGGGTTCAAAGTGCACTTGCAAAAGTTATCATTTTACGAATAGCAGTTATTTTATATTAATTATTAAGATGCTTGGTAAATCGGTCGTATTTAAAACTTCAAATGTACTACACAGAACTGCAGTAATACAGTTAAGAGAAAAACACTGGAAAAATGCTGAGTATCAGTATTGGCAAAGAAGTAAGATTCCAACTATGCATTTTCAAGATTCATTGCCTAGATTACCAATACCGAAATTAGAAGATACATGTAAAAGATATTTAGCAGCTCAGAAACCACTTCTAAGTAAAGAAGCATTTGAAAAAACCAACAGCTATGTTACAACCTTTCAAAATAATAATGGAAAAAAACTGCAAGAAAAACTAATACAAAGTGATAAGAAAAATAAACATACCAGTTATATTTCTAAACCATGGTTTGATATGTATTTGAGTGATAGAAAACCTTTGCCTATTAACTACAATCCAACGTTAATTTTTCATAATGATCCAAAAGCTGGGTTCAATGATCAATTACTGAAGTCAGCAAATATGATAATAAGTAGTGCTCGTTTTTTTAAGTCTTTGAATGATAATTTATTGGAACCAGAAGTGTATCATTTAAACCCCAAAAAAAGTGATACTGAAGCTTTTAGAACAGTATGTTCGTTGGTCCCTTCTTTTATCTCTTGGTATGTTGCATACTTGTACAATGCATATCCGCTTGACATGAGTCAATATCACAATCTTTTTTATTCTACTAGAATCCCTGAATTAAATAAAGACAAGATTTTGCAAGATTACAAAGCAAAGCATGTTCTGGTACAATTTAAGGGGCAATTCTTTACTTTTAATGTTTTTGATGAAAGTGGAGATATTTTGCCTGCTAATGAAATTCTTTCAAATTTGAAATATATAATTAACAGTAGTAATGTCACATCTGAAGAGTTCCCTCTTGGCATTTTAACTACACTTGAGAGAAACAAATGGGCATCTTTAAGACAACATTTGTTGTCTTTGGGAAATGAAAAACAATTAAATGCAATTGATAGTGCATTTTTTAATCTCTGTTTGGATGACACTGAAGTTAATTTACAAGATGTTCTAACAGATGAAGCTTATGCCACTTTATCAAGACATTATATTCATGGAGATGGAAAAAATAGGTATATAAAATTCTAAATTTAAAAAGTACTAGTATGTTAATTGTATTACTGTTTAGGTGGTTTGACAAATCATTTTCGCTTATTATTTCTAAAGATGGTGTAGCAGGCCTAAATTTCGAACATTCTTGGGGAGATGGTGTAGCTGTTCTGCGCTATTTTCAAGACATTCATCAAGATTCAATTGAAAATCCTCAGGTTACCTCAGCTACTCAATCATCTACTGAATTGTCATATAAACCCCAAAAGTTAGGTAACATACAATTTTTTTCATTTTTTTATGATATTTGAAAGTTGTTCCATTTTTAAAGTGTTTAACCTGGATGATAAAATGAAGAAAGAAATAAAAGATGCAATAGAAAACTATGCAGATATTTGTAATAGTTTAGAAGTTAATGTTTTTCAAATGTTTGGTATTGGGAAAAATGAATGTAAGAAGCTTAAAATAAGTCCTGATTCCATAATGCAGCTTGGTTTTCAGGTAAGGGTTTTCTATATTTTTCTACATATACTTAAAATATTTAGCTTTCAGGATGCTTATTTCAAATTAAAAGCAGAGTGTGTTCCTTCATATGAATCCTGTAGCACTGCTGCATTCAAACATGGAAGAACAGAAACGATTCGACCTTGTACTATTAAGACAAAGGTTATTATAAACAAATATATGTTCATAGTCAATATTTATTGTTTTAGGAATATAGTGAAACAATTAATTCAGAACATTTTTCAAAATTGGAAGCATTTCATCTGATTGATGAATGTTCAAAATATCATGCAAAATTAACGAGAGAAGCTGCTATGGGCCAANATAACTGGGTATACTATATCTTGTTCATTTATATTATAATCCAATTGTAAATATTTAGAATTAATTGTATCAATGAACAGGTGAAATAGTTATTGAATTGAATAGGTATCGCAAACAGTTTTGGAAAAAACTAATTCATTTTATGTGATTATGGCATGAAATAAGAAAATTGTGTTTATCAAAAATAACGAAATGTGTTATTCTGTTATACCTAATAGGTACAATTGCACTTTTTTGCAGCTTAATAATTACTGTTTTCACAGTAGTTTACATCGTATCGGTTTTTTGTTTTTACTATTGGTGTTACTATTTTATACTGATAATAATATAATAATTCCAACAGTAATCGTACCACCGTAATCACTCACTGTGATTATTATTACACGTAATTATCGTCAAGTGAATGAAAATCTGTCCTCCTCATTGCCACGTAATTTCGTATATCTGTCTCTTACGAACTTTGTGCCTAGCCTGCATCTGGCCTGTTATATACAATTTATTCAATGGTACAATGGTTGATCCGAAACATACCTATACATACATCTATGTAGTAGCTGATGGTTGCTGAAATACCTACATATTATTTATATCTATGTAGATATATATAAGTTTTATGTAAAGGGGTCGCAGACGAAAAGGGGGATTAGTTAATGTCCTGCGTCGTGGGTGAATATGTTAGAATAATTATAAACACAAATATGTTTTGTTATTAAACAGAAATGAAGATAAATTTTCAGTTGTAGTGATTAAGGACAAACTTCGGTAAATTTTGTCCAAACAGTTGTACTTTTGAAAATGACAGCTGAAAAATATCTGTGTTTTTGCACTGGCGAATGTTTATTTACTAATAAGAGATATTGAAGAATAGACCCTTGCGTTTGTTGTGTGCTTGTCGTAAAATGACGTAATTTTCTGAGGTTAATAGCAGTGAGACCGAGAGAGACTGTTTAGACTTCGAAGCATAAAACCATAATTATAAATTACAGGTTATAGCAAATTTGTTACCATGATACGGTTTTGTAAATGTTTTCCGAGTGCTTGTTTTCAGACTCCAATGTATCGAACGTGTTTCAACAAGTGATTGTGACAGTGTAACTCAGCAAGTGCTTAACCAGACTGCTTGTGAAATGATTATCCGGCAGCATTTTAAAAATGTGTCGGGCCTTCTTTCACAAGCATGTTTATAGTTGATCCTGATTGTAATAGAGAATTTGTTGTTATCAGTGAAGGAGGTTTCTCGGTAGAAAACACAATGTCTTCTAATTCTGAAGTACGAACATTACCCAAGAAAAGAAAATATGACCCATCTAAATTGGAGGAGCTTGATACAAGTGCTTCTTATGTTCCCGTATCAGTTCTACAAAATATAAGTACTGCAATACCTCCTCAAGTGATAGCTGTAGATTATTCATGTGCTGGAAGGCCAGTTGAGGAAGAAATAAACATAAAACCCCCCATTATTGACCTAAATGAATGGGTTAATTATCGTGTATTAGCCAAACAAGGGGACTGGTATTATCCTGGTTTTATTCAACAAGCAATAGGAAGTGATGTAAGTATTGTCTTCTATAGGCTTTATTTACTGTCACTAGTAATTTTTCTGAATTTTGGTTGATAATACTCTGTTGATTAAATAATAGATCTGTTGATCTTTTAAAATAACCTGTACACTATAAATAATACTAATTTGAATTTTTATTCGATGTGTTGTTTATTATTGCAGCTAAAAGTGCAGTTAGACAATGAGGGCAAAATAGTACACTTTACAAATGTTCTTGCACCAGACTGCTATGATGTAATTGAAGATGCATGTCCATACATAAATTTACTTGCGTTAGGGACAAGAGTTTGCGTTCGACATGAACAAACAAAGTTTGTGGAAGGTGTTGTGTGTACCATATTAGATGGTCAACCTGCTCGTTTTGTAGTAGCTTTATTAGGTCCTCAACAACGCGAAGTGACTGTTAAAAGAGCTGATCTTAGATTATTAAGGCCTCCATGGAGAGATGATCTAGAAAGTATAAGAGATCCTTTACAATTACTGCCAACTATTCAACAGAATGATTATTTTCGTTCTTCTGTTAAATCCCCTCCTCCTCAACTTAGCACTCCAGTTTCCATTAATACTCCTCTTTCCAACGGTCGTCATTACGACGAGTTCTGTGAGAGTGAGGACGAATTAAGACGTGAAGATATTATGTTTCCAAGTGATGGTGATATTGCCAAATTATCAGGCAGTAGCAAAAGAAGTAGTATGCAAAGTAGGGCTAGTTCATCTAGCAGTGTAACTCTCAGATCTCAGCCAACTACTCCTCGTAGTCAGGCTACAACTCCTCATAAATATAAGAAAGGCGATGTCGTTTCAAATCCTAATGGAATTCGTAAAAAGTTTAATGGAAAACAGTGGCGTAGACTGTGTGCTAAAGATGGTTGTGGAAAAGAATCTCAGAGGAGAGGCTATTGCTCGAGGCATCTCAGTTTAAATGGCAAATGTCTTAGAAGCAGCGGCCCTTCGTTTCCGAGATCAAATAGTAAAGGGGAAGGTGAGGATACATCAAGAGATTCAGAGACATCTCCCAATTGTGGTGAAAGAAGAATTGCTGGTAGATTTGATCAAGATGAAACTGAAGCTGCTAACATGCTAAGTAAGAAGGGAGTTTCTTATTTACAATAAAAATAAATATATTTTCATGTAACTTGACTAATTTTTAGTGTCTTTGGGGAGCTCGAGGTCAGCTACACCAGCATTTTCACCTAATTGCCAAGGATCTTCTCCATTAACCATGCAGTCCCCTATTACTGTTGGTTCTAGGCAGAATATGTTTATGCCAATTAGTAGTCATTCACATGGACTATTAAAAAGAGGCTCTCCAGGCCCTTCTGGTTACAATATGCCTGCCCCATATCATCAACCTGTCATCAGGTATTGTCTTGTTTGGCGATATTAATTTTTCTACGTTATAGTTACTTATTGCTTCCAGGCCAGAATTGGTTCGTCCTAACCAAGGTGCTACAAGCGTAATTAGGATATCGCCTAATCCACGTCATTGGAATTCTCCTTCAGTTTCTGAACAAGAAAGCGTCATCTTGCAGCACGCTTTAACAAATGTTACTAGTCAGACAAATGCGGAAATTGAAAGCTTACAACTTCCTTCTGATACTTTGTATTGCGTCGTGCCTCAAATCCAAGATAAAAATTTTGTCAACGTTAAAACTGAATGTCCAACAGATGTAGAAAAATACAACGAAAATGTCGGTGTACAATACCAAGCTACAAGTGTTCCAAGACATGTGAGTTTTGGAATTTGCTATTTTGTCATATAATTTTACCATTTGTTACTATTTATTCGAAGGTTATACAGCAAGATCACATTAGACACACTCAGACAATCCACATTGCTCCTAATAGTTGTTTAAACAATATAACCCCTAGTGGAGCTGGTGTTTCGCCAGTAATAGTTCATCCCACCCAAATAGTGCCTGTTTTGCCTGCTGCCTCCCAATCAGTTGTTAAAAGGGTTCTTAATTCTGCTACTGTTCCAATTAGTGACATTCTGCCACAAACAACTGCTAGCCCTGTCATAATTAAAACGGAACAGGGTACGTACGTAACTCTCCCCTACTTATTTGTTTTATTGTACGTTCGTGTTATATTTTGTTTTAGTTACTGCAATGAATTTAAATCACAAAGAAACAAGTATACGCCCAAAAACACCTCAGAATTTTATTCCTGCCCATTCAGAGGTAGAAGTGTCTTCAGCATCAACATCCGAATCCCATTTAATAAACTTGAACAGCAATGTAACTTCCCAAATAGTATCTCAAACGCCACAACCAGTGACACAGTCTCCATCTGCCTTTGTTATACCTTGGCACACGGTTCTACCAATTTTAACGGTACCAACTAGTTCTTCGTCGCCACCGTTAAGACGTTCTCCGCCATTGTCTGCACCACCAATGACGAGTGTCCACTCTCAAGTGCCTGCACCCATTTCGGATATGGGAATGGGAGACGATGACGAGGATCCCGAACCAATGCCAGTAACAACTGAAGACGATGACGACGTATTTGAGCCGGAACCCACTGATAACGGAACTGTAAACAATACGATTTGCGCAAGTAATAAACGGAGAAGCCAGTCTCTCAGTGCCCTTCAAAGTTCAGTAAGGTCGTTTGTTATTTCTCATTTGTTTATCATTAATTACGTGAAATTGCAGAGTAAAGAACGTATTAAAAGACCAATGAATGCCTTCATGATATTTTCTAAAAGACACAGAGCTCTTGTTCACCAAAGACACCCAAATCAAGATAACCGAACAGTTTCGAAAATTTTAGGCGAGTGGTGGTATCAACTAGGTCCCGAAGAAAAAAAGAAATATGTGGACTTGGCATCGGAGGTAAAAGATGCTCATTTCAAAACTTATCCAGAGTGGAAATGGTAACAATAATTTATTTTTTACGATAACAAAGGAAAATACACTCTTGGTTATGTTGTATAGGTGTAATAAAGATCGTAGAAAATCGTCAACTGGTTGTGCTCGTGGCAAACTTAATTCAACAGGTGATATGGGGGAGTCAGGAGATCCATCTGCTAGTCCGAGGACTCCCCATTCTCCTCAGCCGATGGAGTCAGTACACTCTGCCGGACAAGAAGTGGACAACGGTGATCAATCTGATGAAGACCAAATGGTTATATGTGAAGAACAAGAGCAACAATCAGAAATTGATTTGAAATGTAAAGAGAAAGTAACCGATTCTGATTCGGAGTCGCACAGTGATCTAGAACCCCACATTGAAAACAGGGTTTTTCCACAGCAACGGTTTAGTCCAATGTCAAACAATAATAATAATAACAATAACAACAACAGTAATAACAGTGCAGACGTAACATGCCGGCCAAAACCGATCAAAGCAAGACTGCCCTCGACCGATTCTAGCACCAAGTTTAGTCCTGTGACATCTACTGTACTCAGTTATCCATATCATTCCCCTGTAAATCCCACAGGAGTTAGCGGTTTTCAACCTACTGGAGGTGCATTTAAAACTATGCCGGTATCGCCGAAAGTTCTGAAAAATGAAATTGTGGACGTACCAGAGAATTGTTGGCCAGATTCGTCACCTACCACTGATCCATTAGACATTAAATGTTCGGACATTGCCACATCTCAGTGGATTCCAGAAGAATCCAGCAATTGCTCTACTAAACCTACAACAACTCTAACGATATTTAAACAACAAGTAAAACCTGGTGGAATAATTCAGGTTTGTGAACGCGGTGGTCAAAGAAATTCGATCCAGGGCCAACCTATGACTCTTACAGTACTTAATTCGCAATCTACAGCTTTGTGTTTGCCTAGTCATACGTCTAGATCAAGACCCGTGTTCGTTGTCGCTTCTTCCGCATCAGATCCGCCTGTTCAGTACGTTTATATGCCACAACAGTCTTTTCAAATACCTGTTTCTGATGCGAACGGCAGAAGCGTTTCCATTCAACCGTTACAAATTATTTCGAAACCAACAGCAATACAGTCAGTAATAGTAAATCAGTCACAGAACAAGCAAATCATTCAAAATTGTGGCAATCTTCCAGAAACATCGTCAATATCTGCTCCTATGTTAAACACCAACATACCATACAATTCAGGTAATATTTGGTATTTGTCTCTCTTGTTTTAATTTTAAATAATATTTAAAAATGATTTAAGAATAGACTTCAAAATACTTTTGGAGAGCTAATTTTTTGCAAAAGCGTATGTTAATTTTAGGTATTCAAGTTAAAGTTGAAAATAAACTTCCAAAACCTCTAGAAAAAATAAATGTTTCTGTCTCAGAAATGCCCGTCTCGCCAAGAACGATAGTTAATTCTGAAATTCCCGTCTCTGAAGAAAACACCGAGTTTAAATTGGCTCCCACTCCAGCCCAATTGGGGAAAGCACCACTGCAAAGGCGTCAGTCTATGGGTAATTGTAGTAAGTTTATTTTATAAGATAAATTTTTATTAATTTATTAAGTGTTTAGCTGCTGTAGCGGTCACATCGACGACAACAACTATAACAACAACACTTTCAATTGAAAGTGTCGATGAAAATAATCAAAACGACTCTTTAATTTCACCTTCGATTAAGAAGAATTTTATTAAAAAGAGTTTAGATGATGGAACAGATAGGTATTTAACATTTTCAAATTGTGATAAGGGGCAAAAGTGATCTTTGTTAATGTGTCGATGTCTTTAGGGTACTGGAGCAAGTTAATTTTGAAGAAAAATTTTCTTCTTTGCCACAATTCAAACCTGAAGAGTGCCAGTCTCCAAGTGCAATTTCGGTACCATCAAGCCCAAGGGTATTTTCCAATTATAACACGAAAAAGAGACCGCTAACATCAGGTCATAGATTGTCATTAGATGAGGAGTCTGAAATAGAAGCACCTCAATCTGCTGCTTCTTTAGCTAAACCTCCTAGAATTGTAGGCAATACATTTTTTGGTCCTGATTTTAATGTCGAAAATATTAAAGGTGAGAAATTTTGATATAATATGTATTATAGAATATTTTTTTTTTAATCTTATTTAAAAATGCTATTTAGATTTTTCTGACGCTCCGGAATCTAGTTCCCCACATACTCCTAATCCTAGAACTCCAAACCGTGACTCGTCAGATAAAGGTCACCGAAAACTGTTAGAACAAAGGCGTCTGTTAGTTTTGCAGTTGTTCCAAGAAAAGAATTCGTTATTTCCAAGTACTCAAGCTACTTGCACCTTTCAGTCACAGCATAGCAATATTTTTCCGAATAAGGCAACGTTGCAATTAAAAATACGCGAAGTGCGACAAAAATTAATGGCTCAAAACTCTGCACCACTCAGTGCAAACAGTATTAGTAGCCCTTTGACCCCTTCTGAACCAGTGAAAGTATCGTCTAATAGTTAATTGTGCAATATTTTACTCGTCTTCCCAAACAGTTGAGTATGCATTGTTTTTTACATTATTTCATTCTGCACTTTGGCCGCGTGACAGCGTGTTATAGGTTCCATGTGTGGGGTAAATTTTAACACACTGTACGGTTTTATTGTAAGTGGTAACTTTTATTGAATTTATTGTTATGATTTGTTAATTTTTATAGAATGATTTTTTATGTGCTAAGCAAATCGATAATGCTTAAAATTTAAGTAGATACTTTTAATTAATTTTTATACTCTCTATGATTTTCATGTTTCAATAATAAGAAATAAGTAGAAAAAGAAATAATTATCGTTCATGTTTAATTACTTTGTTTTATATAAAAGTAATTTTATTCTGCTTGGGTCAAGTAATGATAATGAAAAGATTTACGTTTTTGTCGGTTTATTTAAATGTTGACTTGGTTTTCTGCGATGTATTTTACTGTCGTTGTAATATTATAATAATACATCATATTAATATAA